AGGTGCAGGGGTGTCCCCCCACCTGGCTGGCAGCCTCTGTACCTTCAGAGATGAAGAGTGAGGGTCAAGAGGCCACCAGTCCCCCTACCTCCGGCCATGCAGGACTGAGATGGCTGGGGCAGGAGGGTCCCCCCTGAACCTGGCTGTGTGCACCACTATGCCACTCTGGCTGTGTGGACATGGGCAAGTCAATTTCTCCAAGCCCCAGTTTTCTCACTTGTGAAATGTGAACTGTCCATTGAATTACTGGGAACTACAGACAACAAATAACATAATACTGCATTAAGAACCATCGTAAGAACAAACTGTCGCTGGCTCATGCACAGGGAGCCCTTCTTTTTTGCTGCCTGTTGAATGCTTTGCCTGTCACAGCTGTTGCATCTCACTGTGACCCTGTGTTATGGTCACAGTATGGAGGTGGGGAGTCACAGAAAGCCTTGCTGGTGGGAGGAGTGTTCAACAGGCTTAAATGGACTTTGTAGACTGAGTAGGAATATGCTGTCCCGGAAGAAGACACAGGACAGAGGGACCAGTGCAAAGGCCAGAGTACAGGTGACTTTGGGCTGTATGGTAGAGGAAGAGATGGAGCATGGTGTGGAAAGATGTGGCCACAGTACAGGGCCACAGGTCACAGATCCAGCCTCACGCTCTTTGCCAGATCCTTTCATCAGGGGCCCTGCTCTTCTCATTCATGTGCTCCCTCCTCCGGGAGGTAGCCACCCTCAGGGCTTCAAGGCCACCTCTGAGCTCCCCACTGTCCCTGGCAGCTCTGCTGAGCTCCAGTCCTGGGAGGCCCTGCTCTGCCGACGTCTTCTGCTGGGTACTCGCCAGCCCTCAGACCCTGACCAGATCACACCCACCACTGGGGAAGACAACTTGAGCCACAGGGCACACGCCGTCCACCCCACTCCCCAAATGAGCAAGTGTTAAAATGATGGAGAGTTCCCAGCGTTGGCAACGATGTGGGCAAACAGGCCTCACAGTAATAAAAAATGCTCATACACTTTGACCCCTAATTCTTCTTACCCCCAATACATCCTGTTACGACAATAACAGCAAATGTGTATTTAGCACTTTCTGTGGGCTGGCCTGCTATGCACACGGCACTCCTCTAATCTCTAATGTGCCCGCCCCCCCCCC